TTAAAAAGTGTGTCTAATCAACTCACACCAGCACAACACACATTAACTCGCCACCACCACGTCAGTGTCACTGCAGTGCTGATCTGCCACCCACACAATACCTGCTCTGTGGTAGTCCTGTGGGGGTCATGAATATAGAAGAAGAGGGTTAAACAAAGTATCCAGATAAAGAGATGGACTACAGTGTGTAACTGTAGAACTACAAATGCACCTATATGGTAAACGGGGCTGATAACATAGACCGTAAGTGTAGATACAATGAAGTGCTTAATGAAGTGGCTGGTCAGTGTTTATTACGTCAACACTAATTTGTCTTTCAGTTTCCTTACTTTTGACAACAACTGTGTTGATTTAATATATATTATTCATGTGGAAATGAATTAGAATCAAATATAAAATTAATCTTCTCGCGTGTTATATATAGGCCACATCTATAGCACTTTGGAGAGGCCTAAGAAGTCTTTGCAGTGCAAGCCCTAAAAAAAGTACTCAAACTTTCCATTATCTCTGGACACAGAAAAACAAGTCAGGCTCTAGCCAAATGAATCAAGGTTGTGTGTGTAAGTGAGTGTGCGTGTGTGTGATTGATCTTCCCCCAGCAGCCTCTAATCTGTCTGTGCTGAAAGGTGTCATTCACATCTGTATGACATTTGACACTTGTGTGCAGGTCTAAATTTAACTTGGAACAAAAACAGACACCTGCAGTACTTTACTCACACACTTTCTCAACACTGAAGCTTTGAGGTTCTCTCGCCTCTATGCTTTCTTACACTGACCTAAATACACACAGAGCAAGGGATGGAGAGAGACAGAGAACATTTAATATTTCTGTATGTTATTACATTCAGTGCATTTAAAGGGCCCATATCCCCCATTTTCTTGCATTTAAATGTTTTCCATGAGCTCCACTTGTGTCATTTGTGTGATTTTTGTACCAAAAACAGCTGTGATTCACTTTTCCGACCTCTCTTCATCTCTTTAAATTGTTTTTAATGATGGCAACTCTGAGTTCTACTTCTCACTCAGCATTTTACCATAACTACATTAAATTAAAGCCTCATCGAGACCACAGAAAGCAGATCACGTGTGGCTTGGAACTGACACAGAGAAAGGCAGTCAGTCTTTTAGATAAACAGACAAATGCTAACATTAATAGTCATTACTATCTTTTTTTCAGCTTGAATCGTTCAGCTCAAAAACAGCAAATTTATGAAGAGATGAATTAGTAAACTCATGCCAAGTGTGATGGCTGATCCTGAACCCTTTATTGCAGTCAGTTAATATGAGTACAGTGTAAAAATGAACTTGAACTTGCTGTTTATTGGCTCTCCTTGCTGGCATTCTGTAGAGGCCTTCTGCTATGTGAGCTCTGTGATGCATTAGGTGTGCGGTAGCCCTCAGAGTTAAACTAGCTGTTTTTGTTCCTGTACCTTTAAGACTGACATTTAAATTATCTGTTGTGTTTGGCTGCTCTGTATTGTGCACCATTCAGAAAGCAGGCCAGGTTAAAACGCTACTTAGAACTTCAGCATGAATAGGCAGGACTAAACTAAAGCAGGCCGAATAAGAAGATGTATGTAAATGTGTTGGTTGTAGTGACATCACAAAAACAATGAATTCTTGCAGCTTAGTTTCCATATATGGACCATTTTAAAACTTCAACCTTATTCCCACACTAGAAGTTTGCATGTTCTCCCCGTGTCTGCGTGGGTTTCCTCCGGGTACTCCAGTTTCCTCCCACAGTCCGAAGACATGCAGTCAGGCCAATTGGACATGCTAAATTGCCCTTGTGAATGTGTGTGTGAATGTGTATGTCTGTGTATCTGTCCTGTGATGGACTGGCGACCTGTCCAGTGTGTATCCTGCCTTCTGCCAAATGACCACTGGGATGGACTCCAGCTCTCCCTGAAACCCAGTAGGATAAGCGATTTAGAAAAACATAGCATCACTGTCAGAACATAACCTTGTATCTCCATTTTAGTTATTTTAAATGATTTTTTAGTCAAAAAAATTACTTTGCTTTTTACAACATGTTGAAATGTTGTGATGAATGGACCAGAAGAGATGATCCAAAATTGCATGGAAAAAAATCTTGTTCCATTATCTTCCATTCAAAGTTAAGAAAGTTTTTCCTTCTTCTGTAAAGTTTCCGTCTTGGAGATAGGAGGTTTTGCTGCAGCAGCAACAATATATTTAACAGAAAATAACACGGAAACTATTTTTTCTATATTTAGACCTCATTCACTAATATCTTCCTAAGTTTTTTCCTAAATTTGTTCTTGAGAAAGGTCCTAAATAAAAAGTCTGTCAGATTTATGATTAAGCCACAGAACTGTTCATACCTCTGCGCTCTTGAGTGTGAATGTCAGAATCTTTGTGAAAACTGCATAAGTGGGTTTTAAGAACGGTTGGTGAATGAGGCCCATTGTGTCCACACTTTGCTTTCAGTTTGTAAAAGAAATCTGCAGGGATATTTTTCCAAAGTTCAGTCTTAGAAGTTGGTTGCTCTTTCTGCTTCTCACGATCCAAATAATCTCAATTACAAATTTAGACTCATAAGTCCATACAACCTCACTCCACATCTCAGATGTCCAGTTTTAATGTTCTACTGCAAATGTTCTTCTGTTTTGCCTGTTTCCTTTTCTCAGTAAGGGCTTGTTTGAAGCTACACCCTTATAGGACTTAAGTTGTCTTCTCACAGCAGAAGAATGGACACCTGTGGATTTTTCGGATCTGATGCAAGAGTAGAACTTGATCTCTCAAAAACAAATGCTTTCTGTAATTTTCATGCAATGTTATTCATGATAAAACCTGATAATTTAAATGAAATGTCACACATTGGCTTTAATCAGATATAAATGTGCACACACGTATGCAGAGACACTTAACATTTCACTTTATTACTGAATTGTTCTATTGATGTTTCAGGCTAAAAATAATCGTCTTGCTGGATGATGACCTACAAACATCATTGCGGAAGTATGAAGGCGTGGAGAGGAGAAGATACTTCAAATTGTGCAGCGTTATTATTAACATCCTCTCTCTGTTGCGTTTAAATGCAAGAGACAGATGAGAGGTGGGGCTTAAAAAAGCCCCAAAGCCACTTTTAGAAACATAAACATTGCTTTGGTGGCTGATGTGAATTACTGTTTTTATTGTTTGCAACAGTAGGTGCACAAACATCCTTTATCGCTTTATCAGTGAGGTCATGGCAACTGTGAATTCCATTATATTACATGAATCACATTATCAAGTCTGAAAAACGAAACTCCATTGAGCTCTTCAGTGATGTAAGACCTTTGCTCTGAATGTCCTGCTGGAGAGAAAGACAGAAAGAAAGAGAGAAGCAGGAGGGGGTGGAGGGGGGAGAAGAAGGTGATTTCCAGGACTGGTGGAGGTGCAGCAGCTGTGGGACAGTTTCCACTGGGAAATCACTCTCACAGGGGATTTTTTCCACCTGGTCATCTCGCAGCATGTCTCAGGGCCAAAGGTGAACCTCAACCTGTGACTTTGCACTGCAAAAAGTGAGGTACCGAATTGACTTTAAATGCACACATCATTCCACATAAATGTATTTAATTAACTCAATTTTGCCTTTCGGTTTATTAATATTTGGCAGAAACTGTGTTAATGTAATGTATTTTAGTCATGTGGAAATTATGTACAGTACATAAATACATTAAATACAATGCAGCACTTTTTCAGTGAGGAAACAATGTAAATTGTCCACATATATTTAATTAATAATGTTTCAAAGGGGAATTCCACTGATTTTTCAAAACTCCTGCAAAATTAAATCGGTAAGATGTGAAGGAAATTATTCAGAGTGGTTTGGTGTGAAACGCTCCGTTCTAGAGAAAATTACAGAGTCAGAATTGTTCACAGTGGTGTTGATAGGAACCAGACATCTGAAAAGTTCAATGCCTCTTAAAGCTTCCTTACAGCAAGTTATTACACAAAATGAAACTGACTACCTGATGCCTTTGATGTTGTTTAAAGATACGTCTGTGATTAGGTTTTGGCCTAAAATGTATTTTTAAAACACATTGATTATGCAGAGGTACATGCAAGGCGTAGTAAGGAAACATTTTCTAAATTTCTTCTGAATCATTATGAACATTGTGTAGACACACTCAGGAGATATGTGAATTTTCTCTGGTGGTTTTGGATTGTAAGTAAAAAGGCTATGTTTACGTTGCTGACATTGTGACTCCTGGTTCCCATCACCACCACTGTAAAGAAATCTGAGGTGGTAATTTGCTCTGCGATTAATCATTTTACATAAAAACTACTGCGATTGGCTTGTACAAATGAATTTTGTTGAGATATTGATGGAATTCTCCTTTAAGCAGAGTCTGAAGTCTATGGTATCCTTAAGGCCAGGTCTGCTTCTTATTTTTGCATGCATGTGTCATGTGTTATAAAGATAAATAACACATGTTTTATTAACTGCGTGGCACCTTCTATTGCTTTATTTCTTCCAAACTGCAAATTTACAAACATCCTTACACAACTAAAATTCAATGTAGCCAAAATAAATAGTGAATGAATGAAGAAACAAAGAAAATGGAAAAACTGCATAGTGAGGTAATGCTATATCCATATTTAGCATTAATGAGATATTAAGATGCTTGTGCTCATGTTAAAATGATTTCCAACAGATCAGAAACCTATATTAGTGACCAAACCCTCAGGGAAAAAAGGTTATATTGGTCAGAGAAGTTAAAGTGTTTAGAGCTTTGAGACATGTGAGGTGTATAAGCTATGTTATATATATATATATATATATATATATATATATATATAACATAGTATTTCATAACATATTTATGAGATAGAATTGAATGATGAGATACTAAGTCAGAATTATGAACAACCTACTCAGTATTATAAGTTGGTTGAAATGGTTATATTTTTGCTCCAGTAGCGGAAACGCGCTGCCATCCTTAAGTGACTTTTATTCGAAATGCAACTATTTTTAGCTTCACTGCGCATGCGTGCCCTCGCTGCGTTGTGAGGTAAACATGGCGGCGGTGGAGTGAGACGCGTATGCCTCAACTTTAGCTAACGAAAACAATTAAAAAAATATATAAAAACAAAACATGTCGCGCCATAGGAATGTCCGAGGTTATAACTACGATGAAGGTAGATTACACACGTACCAAGTTTGCCTGTTTCGGTCTCAGTACTAGGCTTTCTTGTCTGGATTGGTAGCTAAATGTTAGCTGGGTGGCACGTTTAGCTCGGCTAGCTAACAAGCAAGTGGCCGGCGTGATTGGATGAATGATGTCGTGTCACTTATTTTGCAGTTTGTAAGTGATAAAAAGCCTGAGAATAACCCTCACTTACTTTTATTTGTCATAGAAAACATAAAGAAGAGCAGCTGCTTTCTTGTTGGCCCACAGTGGTATCGAGCTTAACTGCAGCGTTAACGCAGCTAACGTTAGGTGGATAAATTCTCACAGCAGTGAAAAGTTAGTTGCTAGCTGGCGTTATTTTGGGTGGTCAGACTCATGAGTATTTTTTTTTCGTTTTCTGCGATTCTTAAAGCGTTGACAAATACGTAATCTTTCTGTAACGTAAGCTGGGTGCGCCAGACATTGTTGTCAGGCAGACTAGCTGACCAGGCAAAGCAGCATTGGCCACGTCGCTGACTCAGTTGTTGTCAGTTTGCTGCTGTGCTACACACTTAAAACAAGATAGTTCTTCAGGGGTTCTTTAGTAATGGCAATCGTTCTATTTACAACTATTTTATGTCTAAATGGTTCTTCAGGTTGGTGGAGAATGTGTTGCATATGTTTCCTTAAAGAACCACGTTTTTACAAGCTTGATATGTAACAGTAGCAGAACGCTTTTACTGTACAGTATTCACGTACAGTGTCCCCTTTCTGTTTTCATTTTCCTTAGATTTTGAGGATGACGACGTTTATGGACAATCAGTGGACGATGATTACTGCATCTCACCAGCTACAGGTTGGTATTGCTCTACGAGTGGACATTATCATTGCAGAAATATGACTAAAACAAGATTGGCCTTGTCCGTTCTGTCTGTTCTTGTGTGTTCAGTCTGTTCACCAGGTACCAGGTGTACAAGACATTTCTCTTGGTGCAGATGTCAACATAAAAATAAACCTAACAAAATACATATAGAAAAAGATATACTATGTATAAAAATAAAATAGAAACATCAAACAGACATCATACAAATAAATTGCAAGTTAAAGGATGTGCAATGTGCAGAGGTGGGAACAAATAACAAGGAAGTCTCTAGTCTTGACACTTGTGTCCTGAGTCAAGTCCCAAGTCCTAAACAAGTCAGTGTGCATTTTTAATCTAATTTAAGGCCATATCAACACTAAATGATGGTAAGATTAATATAGCCTTTTATTGACCACATGTTTGTAGCATGTGGCTGTATTTTTATTTATCTATATATATTTTTTTATCCTTCCAAATATAATACAAAATCCATGATACACAGATAACCATGACAGTAATGGCATACACAAAGAGTTGCTCTACACATGAAAAGAATGTTCAAAGTATTATTGGGGGAAAAAAAAACTTTGTTTGAAGATGACAATTTTGGATGATTTTTTTGGAAACACTGGGTGCATAGGATTAAAATAAAAACTAGCTTACCAGTAAAACTAGCTCAGCAAACTAAACACATCTGCTAGTTCAAATTAAATTCAGGTGATAACAGTAACCAAAATGACCGAGCTGAGCAAAGTTTACAGAAAAGACAGAATGGCAAATTCAAATACGAAGCTGGCAAATAAAGCCGTCTTCAGCCATCTTGGTGAATGCGCTTGTTTTAACTGCAGAAGCCATTAAAATCAGTCAAATAGAAAGAGCCCTGTTTCTTTTGTTTTGCTACCATGAGGAAAATGGTCAGTCCACCTGGTATGTTTCTCCAGTATGAATTTAAGCGCTGAGTGAGGGCTTATTGATGCTGTTCGATACTTTGTTTGTTTCTAGCTAATGGAGGCGAACTCGAACTCTGACGTTTCCCTTATTAAATAAAAATAAGCCGAGCGTAAGCACAGTAACAGATGTTTGACGACGTTTTACAGCAGACAACGAATCCGTTCACGTGAAATGTAAGCGGCTGTGTAGAGTCCCAGATGCATCGTTTCTTCCACTTTGGGTCTTGAGTCTTTCCAAGTCCGAGTCATTGGTGTTTAAGTCGAGTCGCAGGTATTTTTTGACTTTGTCAAGTTGAGACACATCATCAAACTCGTGAACCCAGTCGGACTCGAGTCCAAGTCATATAACTTGAGTCCACACCTCTGGCAATGGGAGATATTACAGATACAATCAGGTGCTGGAGTATGAAAGATATATCATGTCTCAATTTTCTAGTGTTGTTAGTTACATATACATTGTGCCTGAGTTAGGTCTTTCGAGGAATGATTTGCCATAACTAATTGGCACAATTTGCCCAAAACGTAGTTCATCAGCCAAGACAGCTAATACAGCTAACAAGTAATGTCACCCATAATGTTGAATGACGTAGTCTTCTGTTCTGTAAGAAGACTCCAAAGCAAAACTAAAGAAGCAAAACTAGGACAGCAGGTCTGTCTTGGCCGATCAACTGTATTTGGCGTAAGAGGGAGAATTGTAAAAATTTAAGTTTTGGATTAACCATTTCTTTAACAATCTTACTTGTATAAGCAAGATGCAGTGGAATTGCAGTGATAGTCTGATCAACAATTAGTCAAGTTATAAAAAAAGTTCACAGTAGTTAGACAATTAACATTTCAATTCTTTTGACCAGTAGCATCTATTGAAATATTTAGTGTAACAGCTGGGACTACATGCTGAAAACTGTGCACTGCTTACTCAATACAGACAATATCCATGGATAAGAAGCTATCTTTTTGCAGTTGTAGTAAGATGGCGACTGTAGTGTAAAAAAATTAACTGTTAATATTAGCTCATTAGGTGTGAGGTGTTGGCGAATACAGACAATATCAGGATGACTCCTGACTTCAAAATTTGACATAACATTTGTCTTAAGTGATCAGAGAAAACATCCTCTTTTACTCAAGGTATGTTTTAAGTGGAATTCCAACAACGTATGCGCTTATCTAATTAGTACTTATAAAGCTACGTTTTTTCTTAAATGCTATAATTCCTGTTAGCGCATTATATGATGTGTGGGTTTTGCTTGCTTCCACAGCTGCTCAGTTTATTTACTCACGTCAGGACTCGAGGCAAGCACGGCAGGTAGAGCCACTGGAGGAGGAGGAACATGAAGAAGAAGAGGAGATGCCAACCTCACCCACGGTTACGCATATGCTCGACCCTTTAGAACAAGGTATGCCTGCCATGGGTGCTAGGACTTGTGTACTAAAATTTGTGTACAAGTGACTTGTAAATATTTGAAGGGAATGTGCTTCCCTGTGCTGGACTTAAGTCTTGCTGGCCTACGTGGAGAGCAAGTAACCTAACCATTTGGCTAAACAGCCAGTTACTAAAAACATACATGCTTAGCTGCAAAACTGCTGTATTTTGAACTTCAAACCTGTAACAATACGTTAGTTGTGATGATTATTCTCACTCCCAGTGCTGCGTGTTAAATGTGTGAAACAGAAGCAGCTATTGTCACAACTAACATGCATGAGAATAAGGACCTTTTGAAGGATTTAAATATGTGTGCATGCAAGTCTGATATAAGTAGTTATTAGTATCATAGTATTTGTAGTTTTGCATTTTTTTGCTGTGTGCTTAATTAGTTGTTTTTTTTTATTTATTATAATTATTATTATTTTGTATTTTATTATAATTTTTTTTTAACAGAAGAAAATTAGTCTGTATTTGCTCCGCATCCAGGCGGAGACACTATTTAATCTTAATTTAGTGCTTTTCATATTATCTGTTTGATATCCCACAGCTTTAGCAGTCATCACTTATTATGTCCATATTGTGCAGCCATACCCAACGTGTTTTGGGTAACCAGTATAAATTAATATTTTTTTTATTTTAAGAGGGTATGTAGGCCTGTGTGTGTCTAAAGCCTGATTGTACTTATTTGTATTTGAGCCAGGTGAAAGATTTTACTTGTGTTTGTCATGACTGTGTGTTTGTAGACTGCTTGTATTCACAAAATATGAGACCTTTCTCTGTAGGTCGTCTGTACTCCTGTTTGGACCAGATGAGAACAGTGCTCGGAGACTCAGTACCTGACTCCACTCTGACCGAGGCCGCGTTGAAGTATGACTGTGATCCTCACAGAGCTCTGGACTCCATTCTGTCCGCAGAAAACAGCAACATGCAAACAACAACTGCACCCAAAACCAACACTCAACTGGAACTCACCACAGCACCCCCACCACAGAAAGGTACACACACCCAGTTAGCCTCACAGCAGGTCTCTGTTACGTCTCAGTGGGCCACTCCGAACTCCAGGGTTTTTCCAAAAGAGGGCAGACCTTTAAGCATTTAGCTTTGTATCATTTTTGAGAGCTAGTTTCACTTCAGACTTGCGGAAATTCTATTAATTTTGGCCTTTCACAGCAATTCTGGTTTTGTTCCAAAATGTTGTATTTCCATTTGTAACATAGAGGTTTGAAAAGAATAATAGCTGACAACTTTATCAAAAAGTTTTTTTTATTTCTGTAATAATACATTAATCATTATTATAGTATTGATATACCTTGTATGTGTAAAGTCCATTCCAAACATGGTATATCATGAAAAAAGGAAAAGAAATGAATAAGTTTAATGCACATTGAAACAAAACCCTTCAGATATACAGTTGTATGCAAAGGTTTGGACACCTCTGGTCAAATAACATGTGTTGTTGATTCTCTAAGTGACAATAAGTGAATGCATACTCTACAGAGAGCACTTTTCTGAACGTTTTAATGTACAATTATTGCCCATGGCTGAATTCAGAATATTGGGGGAAATAAAAAAGAAGTTATAGTACATTTTATGTTATATTCCAATATGTTAAACATAGCAAATAAATAGAAATTGTGCACTGAAATTTGCAGCAAAAAAGGTATTATTTCGGTTTGTTCCCGGTAGAAAATGTTATTTTCCGTATTTTCACTAAAAAAATCAGCAACATATATAGTTTGGTTAGAGTATTCAAATATTTGCATCAGGTTTACATTTAATCTGAAAAGTCAGAAAAGTTTTATTCCTTTAGAATTAAGCCTTTGTTGCAGTTGCTTTTAGACTTGATCTTTATGTTGGTTGTAATCAACAAGTAAGTGATGTATTGCCTTCCTCTCTCTGTCTGCCTGGTCTCAACAATTGCATTGGCTTTGTGTGGCGACTTGTCAATCATCATCCTCCACCTTCACTCTCCTCACCCTGGTTCTCTATGACTGCATTTGGCCCTCGTAAGGTAAGGAGCCTTATCTGCCTCCACAAAATGCAGCACTGATATGGTTTCGCACACGACCTCAGCGCACACACTGTCGCAGCCTACTGCAAAGCTTTCATTAAACCTCAGCGATCTCTTAGCCCGGTCTGAGCCAAATGTGGTCAGAGACTCCTGTAAGAGCTCTGGCCCTGCTCTGGGTGGTTTGCCCACTGGCTTCGTGAAGGGTACCTTAACTCAGGACTCAGGGGCTGATGTTGGCCAGCTGAAAAATGCAGGCCAGACTTCTCTGGCTCAGTTAATGGCCGAGCATGAGCAGAAACATGCAGGTGCTCTCCCTACCACTGGTCCAGGTCATAACGTCGCCTTCCCTACCACTCTCAACATTAACTCCTCCACATGCTCTTTGTTTTCTAGTCTTGGGCAAAGTACTCCTTCGTCAGCGGGTCTAGCTCTGGGCCCTGGTGTATCTCTCTCTTCTGGTCTCACTGTGGGTCTCAGCACTTGTCCTGGTCTTGGAAACCTATCCATAAGCCCTGCCTCCTCCCTCTTGTCCTGCTCTCTGGGTAGTCTCTCTCTGCAGGACCCTACGGTGGCTACACCATTGCCTGTCCCATTAGGGAGTCTAAGTAACGTTTTGCAGGCTAGCAAGCCAGTGGAAATGAACAGGGCTTCTAGAAGTTCTGGGATCGGAGGTCAAGGGGGAAGCCCCTCATTGGCTGAGCTGATTCAGGAGCATCAAAACAGTAGTCCTGACCTCTTTAGCTCAGTGCCAGGCCCACAGAACACATGCACAGCAACTCCACAAACTGTGAGTGGTGCTAACACAACTAAAACCCCACACTTTTCTGCAGTGCCATCCTTGTCGGACCGCTTATCCAAACCCCAAGCTGCAAAAAGACCACAGCACCCAGCCATCTTCATGCCTTTAAAGGGTAGAAGTGAAGACAAAAAGAGTAAATATCCTCCTCAGGTCAGCTTGTCTCCCAAGAACGTCGTTCAGAATGTTGATTTAAGCGCACTGATGTTACAGACATCACCTAGTGTTTCTCCGCATTGCCATGACAACCGCTCTCCAGTCTCTCTGTGCTCAGACCAACATTTTTCCAGTTGGAATGTGCCCAGTGTTTTTGCTGAGCCGTCTGTGTTCGCTTTGACATTGTGCGTGCGGATGAAGAGGAGGAACCAGCGCAGTGTACCAGTGCATAAGGCATTTCTTTATAGCAGGCAGATGGCAAAAGTGAAAGAAAGAGTGCAAGGTCCACCCCTCCATCACATCACCCCATTCTCCTTTGACACGCCGTCTCCCGATGACATAGTCAAAGCGAACCAGAAGAAGGCATTTACAAGAGAGTAGGGAGTTCTGTTACCCTAGAAATGTTATCATTTTATCTCTTACCAGCTTTCTTAAACTGACTTTATATACACCATGTGGCCGCTAAATAATATTGTGCTTTGCTCTTTCTCTTTTGGGAGCAAATATTCAAAACGTGCAAGCTGAACTGTTCGATATTCAATTCACCTGTCTTAAACTGAACTGAATGTACTGCACAGTATGGCCATTGAATAATATTTCTCAGTTTTTAAAGACCAGTGATGTCCTCTCACTTTTGGGAGAACTATTTTTAAAACTATTAGGTGGAGATGTTTAAATCATGTAGACTCAAACAAGCAGCTATGAACAGAACATGGAGAGGTTTAGGCCTGATGGATTAGGCTCCAGTTTTGTGTGTTTATGAACTTTTAAACCTTAGAAAACAGCTCAGTATTCTCCTTTATCGAGAGGCCTCGAGCCCACATTTCAAAATTAACCAGGTAACCACTGAACTTGGCTTGTACAGATTACTGTATCCTTCTCTGGGCAGCATTGCTTTTAACTGGTATTGATATTGTTTTTTTTATTTTTTTGTTTCAATATAGTTTATAGTGAACCCATTTTGTTACTATTTTTATAGTTGAATGAACCTCTATTTTTGTAATCAGTGGTTATGACTCTTCTTGCCTTTTGCTTACTATGTACAGTCCCTCACTAAGGAAAGAGAGAAAGAGAGAGAAAGAAAATGTGTTTGCTCCACAGCTGTTCTGCAGCAGTTTGATGTCAGGAGCATTTCTGGTTTACCACAGACACAGAAAGAAAGACAAAAACAGAGGGAGTGCAGACATTTGGGTTTGGGGACACCTGGAATTTTTCCCTTTGTGCGTGCATATGCACATAAACATGAACATATTAGATATACTATCTCGTGCAGCTAATTATATTTACTTTTTAATGAGATGAGACATTGATTTCTAATTATTTCATATTGAATATGATCTGTGATCGTTTTAATCTCTTTTTAAGCACTGATGTACAGCTGAGAGTGGTTTTGATTGATGTGGGCATAGGCCTGAGGTTTGTTTATGTACTGAAATAAAGATTTGCCTGTTTCATATGCTGAGATTCTTATGTGTGACTGCATGGGTGGGACTGTGTGGGTGGAGGGGGTATATGACACTGTGTCTGCATGTGTGTAAGCGTGTAAATGTGCTAACTTTATTGGGTGTGTTAGCTTGTGGTGTTTATCACTTATGTGTAAATGTGTGCATTTAAGACGAGAATGTGTTTCTGTATGCCACATCGAGGTGTAAACACACCCACAGCATACTGGATAAGCCTTTACAACATGTTTTCTTTGCTTTTGCTGTGGTATATGACCAACCACAGGACAGGTGTAGATGTAGAACTTGTTTTAGCCCTCTTCCCCACATATGCACCACACTGTACAAACATGACTTCATCCTGCCGAGTTTCTTTTTTTGTTTTTCTGTTGTGATAGTATCATTCTCTGTAACCTTGAGAAGAATACATAGAATTCTGCTTTAGAGCCTGAAAATTTGGTGACTAATACTAATTTCAAGGTGCTAAAATGTCTGTTAACCAATAACATTGGGTGAGAAACTTTACATTGTCAAAAATCAAGCAGATTCTGGTTGCTTTGCACAGAGCTTTATTTAGTGATATGATTGACAACTCTCAAATGGCAAATTGATAAATGTCAACAGCAGAAACTCACAAAATCTTCAGTGATGTATGTATTAAGTGCCAATGGTGGAGCATTACAGAGTTCTTTGTGGGTTTATTGGTTTCTTTTAATTTAATTTAACCCATTCTCTTAATTTTTTATGTTAACAGAGTAATGAGCAGTGTGCCCAAATACTTACCATGGTACAATTATAATTTCTGATGGTTTTGCTATATCACAGTATATCTGTATTTTCAGCTAAACCCTTTTTACATGCTTAAGTAAATGTTTTTTGTAGGTTAAGCTCCCTTTGTTTTTAAAAAAGAAACACTTTTAACAGCCAAAGTACATCTGAAATATTTTTATTGTGCGAAATAGTTTAAAAAAAAAAACAAAAAAACTCAATAATACATATGTAAACCTATGTCAGTATTGCTTTCTAACACTAGCCCAGTGTCAAATGGGAAACAGTGCTAAATGTTTAACATGTAAATTTCTTCAAGGCTGAAGTTGGCTTCTTATTCCTCAACCTTTTATTCAAATTTTCCATTCCATCTTAAATGGAGCAGCAGTTACATTCTGGCAGATGTACTTGCGCCTCAAGGTAACTGCTGTGCCATTTAAGCTGAATCTGGAATTCTGAATAAGAATCCAAATTCAGCTTCTTTAATTTCTGATCATTTGTCTCTTATGCACATCTTGTACACTTGTTGCGTACACATGCAGCTGAATGAATCGAGTGGCCTTGCAGGTGGTGCAAAGAGATAATTGCTCTGGTGTCCATGTTAGGCTAAGGCTGACCCTAAAAGACTGCCTATTCCTTTATGTCCACTGCCTCTAAAAAAGGGCACTACTAAAGATTCAACAGAATATACAGTGGAAGGTGACTGAGAGACTGTTGCATTTTTATTTTTTATTTGAAACAGGACAAACATCCCTCCCTCAGGCATTCAGCTAAACTGAAAAAAATTCAGGCATACCAGTGTAATGGTTGTGACACAATTAA